GACAAATATGAAGAATGTGGAGGGAAGATTGAATTCTACCATCTAGCTGTTCCAATGTGTTCAGAAAACGATTTAACTACAACAACAAGGATCTAAAAAGCAGATCTTCAGAAGACAACGGAAAAAAAGCATCACTCGTCATATGGTTAAAGCGTGACAGTTGTTTGGAGAACAATTGACGACGGGAAAGACCATTTAGCACCGATCCAAAACGAGGCTTTGCAACGGACTGGCTCCGCCATAGTAGAATGCAGTAGAGAAAAAAAAGAGGCAAAACTGGTTGTTGTGGTTCTTCCTGATGACTGATTTTGGATTGGATCCATTAATGGTAAGGAAAACCTTGTTTATTTCTCCCTTTATAACTGTTATGTGAATATATTAAGAAATGGACAAAGTCCGACAATTTATTTATTAAAGACATTTTTATGTTTAACGTTCTTTTTTATAGATACAAGTATTTAATTAAGTATGTTATGAGAATCTATTTTTATGAAAGAAACTTTTCTACGTCATTTAGATAAAAGACATTTCCGAGTTCTCTTTGATGCGGTCGGATGATTTTACAAGTGGAAATCTTTCATTCGGATATTCGTATTCGTTGGTTGGCATCAAAAATAAAACGAGTTGGCTGGCAAAGTCAGTTGTTACAGAAATCTACTTCAGAGCACTTCGTTTGCTACCATCCGCTGACCTGACATGTAAACTATAGCGCAAAAAGCCCAGCAACTCCCGGGTGAAGTTATTTTGAAGTATTTTAAAATTCTTGCCGATGAGTCTTTATGTTTCTCCTTTTTAGCCACTGACCAAACCACTAAAACCCTAACAAAATCCTTTTTTTTACCATAAAACTTGGTCTTCTTGTTCCATTTTCTGTTATTTAGTTTCTTGTGTCATATACGTAACAATAACAGACAAAAAAAAGGAAACTACGTTATCTCCTACAGAATGAAAGCGAGAAGAAAGGACTAATAAGTCAGTCAGTTATGTGCCATGCATGATACTTGCTTAGGCGATCATCTATCTTTCGATACATGACTGACGAAGCAGGGTTTTTTCCGCAGCGGGTTGCCATTTCTTTCTGCGGTAGACCAGTTGCCACCCAAGGTTATAGAACCCGGTCTGTCCTGCTAATTACCCATAGCTTGGAGGAGAAAAAGAGGATACATACCTTTCCCAAGGGTATTAGCACGTAAGTGAATGTAATGGATCAGACTGGATTTCGAACTCAGCTCTCCGATTTCTCGATCGGAGTCGCTATCTATTACTCCACCGTTGTCCCTCGGACTATAAGAAAATAAAATGTATGCTTCTGAAACCCATACATTTGTTTTTGCTAAGTAAAAGAAACAGTTCAACATGTGGATTACAAACTGGAGGTACCAACATTAAATTTCAACCAAAGCTTTTTATCCTGCTTGAAATAATTCAATGACTAGACACAAAACGTTGTGAGTTCAATACCTTGCCGCAGCATAGGTGAACAAACATTGAGGAGTTGAGTTACTAAAGGTTTGGTTTGTTTTGTTTTACGTCATATCAACCTCAATGGGTTATTTAATGCCGACAATTTTTATTGCTGGTAATTTTTTTTTGCAAAAATGTATTGCTGTTAATATTCGTTTTCAAAAATGTTTTGCTGGTAATAATTTTTTCCTCAAAAATTTATTCCTGGTAATAATTTTTTACAAAGTATTTCTCGTATTAAAACCTATTTTTACACTTTCATAGTGTTTTGACACCAGTTTGGGGGTTAACTATTTATCCATAGCTAGAACCCTAACAGGTGCTACCACCCCGGGTCAGGGTGGGTCTCGGAACGCTACTAATTAATAGGTGGTCCCACGCCCCTTAAAATTTCCTGACCAGAAGCCTTGCCGTTGGACGTAGTTTATCGTGTTACCCAGGACACGGATGTAGTTTATCGTCATACCCAGGACGGGTTACGAAAGGGAAGTAACCGAAACTGAGATATCCAGCAAAGGCATGGCACGTGGAACTAGAACAATATACGCGGGTGGACGAAATAAAGGATTCGTTTCGAAATTTCAACGTATATCACCTAAAGAAGGCCGGAGCGTACAACGGCTAAAACGTCGTGAATATGAAAATAAAGATGACGACAATAATCCGAACAATGTAAATAGTGTTGCAGTACCTCATCTTATAAAGATAGACAGATACCAACATTAAACAAGTGCAAGAATTTAAATATCCTGGAAGTTTTTTTTTATGGTAAATGCGACACTGAAATCCGTGCACTGAAAAATGCCTTTCAAAAGCTAAGCAAAATATTAAAAAATAGGAAAAACTGGTAAGAAACAAATAAATTAGTACTAAACTCTTATGTAATATCAGTCCTACTTTACGAATGTGTATGCTGGACATTCTTTTCATAGATGACGAAAAGGCTTGAGAAGGAACCTGACAATAAACGGGGAATATTTTAGGAAAATATAAATAAAAAGTGTGTCTATACTTAGAATCAGAGAGAGACAATTGACGATAGGATAAATAATAGAAAATCTGACATTCACATGACATATTGAAACCAAGAGAGACAAAGGAAAACTGCATATAACCTACTCAACAACCTTCTTCAAATAGCTGGCGCAACAGGGATTGGCAGATATAACGAAAAAAATAACCTTACTTACATTAGCAAAAAAAGGAAGTTGTGGAGAGCCATGATCGCCCATGTCCTAAAGAGACACGGTACATAGAATAAGAAGAAATTATTTCATTGCCTGAAAACTAGAGATCATAAAAAAATGCGAGAAGAATTTTTTTATGAAGTCTTTTGTAACTGATTTTCTGTATTATATAGGTCAGGTGTTCACATTATATTGAATAGAAAACAAAAGCAAAAATAAGAATAGATGTGAGCGTGAGAAACCGGTCCCATTAGCAATATTATTCTGTCAGGAGGGGGGGACATAAATAACTGTCGAAGGGACAACCCTTTCCGTTTAAGAAGTCGGGTGAACATGATTGAAAATAGCTAAAGCAAAAGTAGAGGTAAAGTCAGTGGGTAGTAAAATAAAAACAGCAAACACGTATTTTTAAAGTCATATCAATTCAGAACGTCAGTGAACATGGCACTCCACAGCTTCCTCCTCTTTATGATCGGTGTCTTGACCTAACTTAGAAAAATAGTGGAAGAGTTTCTCTTTGCTCTCTATATGATTTTGAATCCTTCTCCTAAACTGGCTACCAGTCAAGTCTCATGAGTTCTTTTCACCTTACTGAACTTAGAATTTGAACTTAGACTTCAATTCACGCCCAATATCCATTAGAAATTCCCTTTTTATATAACGAGTGGGACTAAAGTTCACCTAAGGCCTCAAGTAGAACTCATATATATATATATATATATATATATATATATATATATATATATAATTATTTATTTAAAAATATGATTCCAACTCGCGACATAAGAAGTCTCATGTTTTAAAACAAGAGCCGAAAACTTCAACATAATTATTTGAATTAAATTAAGTTAAAATAAGCTCTGTTCCATCTTCAAGCGAAATTTTTTTGGAATAACGTATTTCTGAAATTTACGTGTTTTAATAAATGAAATCAAAATTTCCATGGTAACAGCTAGGGCGAATTGTTTAAATTGGGTAGGCGAGTGTTGGGTGTTAATAATAAGTATCAGTATAGAGTTACTTTCATAGATGTCAAGACAGGGAAAGGTGGGGGGGGGTGTCAAAATTTTAAACGGAAGATGTATTAACCCTAGTCTGGTATGCGTGTCTATGGAGATGTATTTATTTTTTTATTTTATTTTTTTATGAAAGGGATTTGTGCATATTAATGCTCTACTTTTGTATCGAGCACTATTTTTAAAAAATTAATAACTTAAACACTAAGGAACTTTGTATTATTTACCTAACCAGTTCCTTCCTATTTTCTATATATATATATATATATATATATATATATATATATATATATATATATATATATATATATGGTCTCTCACTAAAGATGCTAATAAAATGGCCGGTTTCTTAGACCGTTTGAGCAAGTACCTGACACCTGTCATACTCTATCTTTACCAGAGCCAGATCGGACGAAAAATGGAGTACTGCCGTCATATCTGGGCTGGAGCTGTCTACCTTTCCAGGCTGGATAGAGTTCAAATGCGGCTACCCTGCCTTCTTTGGGATTAATTATCTTCCACCTTAAAACACCTTTCGCCCAGAGAAAACGTCGCATGTCTATTGTCCCTCTAAACCAATTTCCATGTCAAAATTTCTGACGAGCTATATTCCTTAGATTTACCAGTTCAGACCTTCACATCCAAGAACCCCCCCATGCAACCTACACAGGAATGAATCCTCCTATTAGTATTTCATTAGTAGTTGCGTCTCTGTCTTTAGGCAGAGTGCGCTCAAGGGCGGCTCCGTCAAAGGACAGAGTCGCAACTGAGGAAAATTATACCGAAAGGTGTCCAACTCTGGGGAACAGCTGCCCGAGACCGCGTCCCCTCATTGCACCAGAGAGAGGGATGGGTGCTCGCACCGAGGCCAGCGCAACCGACGGTTGTGGGGGCTGCGTGCAATTTTTGTTCCCCGCTAGGTTGTACGCGCTCGGGACCCACCTTAGAAAACTGACCTTATGCCATAACTTAGTGGGGAGACAGAGTAAATACCTAGTATTTCATTAGTAAGAAGGAAGTTTCATTTGGACAGCTTCTTCCCAAAAGCCGCTACTTCGTGGAACAGCCTCCCGAGAGGATGGTTTCCCGAACACTACAAACCTAACCCCTTCATGTCAATGTTCACCCGTTATCTTTCCTACATATCTTCATAAACGGCATTTCTTACCCCCACCTCTTATGTCCACACGACTACTTCATTTAGTAGGCCTCTACTTTGAGTGGCTTTTGGGCCTTGTATTGGGTAAGCAGTTAATAAATAAAATATGCTATTTGAATTCTGGATGTGGGCAATCATGGATCATCATTGATTCTCTTTTGTAATTTCGGCTTACGGCTATATAGAGTTGAAACACCGTTCACCGAAGTTAAGCAACATCGAGCCCGTTCAGTAGCTAGATGGGTGACCACTTGGGAATACCAGGTGTTGTAAGCTTGTATGTGCGAGTAGTGTAATAGACAATGACTCGAAATTGTTAATCGGAGAACTAAGTTCCAATTCCAGTTGGGTTCGTTGAATACACTTCTTCTCTCTTCGGTATTAGTAAGACTTGCATCACTAAATAATTATTATCTATAAAAATTCTGCAAAGGGTTGATAAACTGTAAAAACGAATCAATCTTTTGTAATTTGACATGATCACTTCAGATAAGGAAATTGTTTCCCGTTGCATTCTAAACAATTTTGAATTTAGATTAGTGCTTCTCTGAGAATATCTACTACCCCAAACCAAAGAGATCAGTCTTCCCAAGCTTATTTGTGAAAAGTGAAGACGACAGACGAGGCAAGGGCTTGAACGCGGATCATCGACGCCATTTTCCGCTTGGAGAACCGCTATGCTAAATGCACATCGGAATATATTAAGTACAGCCCACATTAAAATACAAGCATTACTTTTTTTCATATATATATATATTCTTTCTTCAGCCAGAAAGACCAGTGAAAATTTCACGATTTTCCTTTTTTAATTTCCGGAAACCCCAAAATCTACAAATTTACAATAAATGGTTGGAAGAACGGGATTTGGAGCGTTCGTGAAAAGACACAATTTACTAAGAGCGATGAAAGACAGGAAGTTGTGGAGAGCCATTGTCGCTCATGTCCTGAAGGTACACGGCACATAGAAGAATCCTCTTAGAGACTATTTAATCTAACTCTTTCTTTCTTCCCTATATATGAGCTGAAATTATAAGAAAACTAGCAGCATGGCCCGGCGTTGCCCGTGCTTGATTAAAAGAAATCGTACGACTCGTACAGCAATCGCTATCACTTGACTTAAAATATTTTTGCCCTTCCTTGCCTTTAAAGGAGTGCCCTTTGCCGTTCTGATGTTGCTACATGCCTTACTTCTTGCCTATCTCACACTGCGAAGTTTTTCGACGCTCTATACTAAGCATTAAATCTGTTACGAAAAAAGAACTAAACAAAATGAACACAAAAAGATCAGTTTTAAAAAAGGACTCGTAACTAGAAAAACCGAGTGAAAAAGAATGTTAACAACAAATACTTTTTCACACCCAACCCAGTTCTGCGGAATCAGAATCAACGTTGAGTTTAAGGAAGCCAATTGGAGTAAAGTGCCATGCAGATTTAAATTTTTCCCACTTTTGACGAATGCAGCTATCGATTTTTTGCATGCTAGCATGCTAGTTAACATTCGTGTCAGTCAGCTGTTGGCTCTCACGCTGGCCAATAGAATCTTCCTGCCTATTCGTGGCAGCCAGCTATAGGCTCTCACTCTGGACAGTAGAAAATGACTGCAAACTACATGAAAACTGCCGTAGAAGCATGAAAAATTGATTATTTCCACTATCGATGGGAGTTGGGAAATGCAAAGTTGGTCTTGGCCTTGCCGCTAACTTGGAGCATGTGCATGTAAATTTTGGTGCAAATCCGTCGAAAATTGCGGCCGTGCATTCGTTACACACACACACACACACACACACACACACACACACACACACACACACCCTGCCTTTTATAGATAGAGATAATTTTGTGACAGTGAAAACTTCACTGGAATATGTTGGAAAGCTTTCACCACAAAAATACGATCTTTAAGCAAAATAGTCACAATATCTGGAAAATAGTAAACGTCACCGTAAATTGACGCCTGGAGGCTATGGGTTAATAAATCTTGCTTTTGATGTCAACGGCTAGATAAACATATCGTTTATTAATAATAAAAATATGTGTAACCTTGCGTAATTACTGTTTTTCATACCAGCCACACAACACATTTAAGTGTTTATTTGTGTTGTTCAGAAAACAATAGCCGATCCTATCATGTGCTAATTAAATGTTTGTTTTGTCACTCAGCGTTAAATGAGAACTGGCAGAAGAAGCATTCAAAAAGTCTGTGTTGACATTTTCGAAACAGGAAAAAGGATAAGAAGAAAAAAGAATTCTCGATAAAATTATTAAAACATTTCCAAAAAGCGGTTAATAAATCTGAAATTTAAACAAAATATATTTATTTACACTATTCGGACTATTGTTCTCATTTTTGTCGCCATATTTATCACAAAGTTTCTGCTGTTGTACGCTTCGACCTTCTTCAGGTGGATGGAATATCGAACTGAACCCTTTATCTCACTCACTGGGGGTAGACTGTCCTATGTCTAATGGATATCAGTTATCTCATGTTAATTCCCCTCTCCAAGTTCTCCACCGCCTTAACCAGGTATTGAACGCACACTCTTTGGGTCCTGTCACTGGATTTAACTAACACCTTTAACCACTGAGATATGTGTCCTTGAGGACATATGTGCGTGAATTTCTGGGTATTATAAACCTAATGTCTTCAGAATCATTGCAATGTTTGTTGTTATATGAGCTCTGGTAAAAACGTAAATGGAGTGGTGGATAACAGCCCGGATTGAAGAATCGGCGAAGCGAGTTCGCATTCCAGTCCAGTTCCTTACATTTACTTGTCGGATTTTTTATGCCGACGGATTGGGGGAGGGAAAAACTCGGACAGCTAGGCAACTCAGAAGCGTTGTACCCGAAACTTGACGTGAAAATAGGAAAAAAAAAAAAGATAGAACTCTTACCTGTTAACAGGATCTTCCATTTGATATCTAAGGGAAGAGTGAGTGGTCCTTTGCTACTCTCTCTCTCGTAACTTGTTGGAATTACAGGATTCTATGTCAAAGTTGCCCTTCTGCGGGCGCTTCTTTACTGATGTGTACAAGGTAGACATGGCGTTGGCATCATTTCCAGTTTTTACTAGATTATCAACGTAAAAGCTGGATTTGAGCGACTGAGAATTCCCCCGATGGGAATTTGTTTGCACGGAACTTTGAAATATAATTAAGTATAAAAAGGCTTGCATTGAAGCCGAATATGATGGTAGAATATTTAAAAAAAAAAAAAAAAAAAAAGAGAAAAAGAAAAAAAAAAGAGAGAAAAAAAAAAAAAAAGACAAATTTGCTGATTTTCCTTCATTCGGGACTCTCCTGGGAAATGATATTGAGTCTCACTCTGATAAATCTTTGGCAACTTAAGTGCCTTGTCAACGTCGGGAGTCCTTTGGCCTACCGAATGGACCCTGAATTGTCTCCCTCGCTGCTACTCCTTAAAACCCTTAATCGTTGTCACACAAACCTAAACCTGAAAGAGTCCTGAATTAATTCGGCCAATGAATCTGCCTTCCTTTCGGCAGCAAGTTGCTGTTCCACATTCTACGACATGTGCCGCATACTAAGTTCGAGCGAGTTGAGATACTTGTGCGAGAATGCTATCAGACATTTTGAAACCAATTGTATAGACCGGCTAAGAGACGAATGTGGACTTGTATGAAACTCGGCTGAGGTGTGACACACGGCGCAAACATAAAAACTGAGTGAGTTTGTTGGTTACTTAAAAAAAGAAACTGTTGAAATTTCTACGGTATATGATGAAGAAAGAGGGCTTGGAAAATTTGACACTCACAGGATATATTGAAGGCAAGAGGGACACAGGGAAGCACCACATAACGTACATAACGAGCTTGTGCAAATGGTTGGCAGAAGAGGAATTAGGAGCGATAACGAAAAAACAAAACTTTACTAAGAGCTAATTGTGTAGGAAATTGTGTAGAGCTATGATCGTCTACCTAATGCGGACAATCATTTGTGCCATGTCGACTGAAAGGACATGGCATATAGAAGACGGCTGTTTTATATTCTACGATCGACAGAGTGTATAAATTGGAAAGGGGGCGATATTAAGATCTAACCTTGACGATTCTTTGTTCGTTTGACCAGATGAGACCAAATATCTGAGCGTAGTTAAGACGAGCCGTATAATAACATTTCTCATACGATATGACGTTTAAAAGGGAAACTGCAAAGACTTCCTAAAATCTAACAAAGGAAAGCGAGATAAACGACTCTTAATTGTAGGAAGACTGAATGCATGTTATCAGCAATGTGCAGTCAAAGTGTGAGCTAAGAATCTGAGATGTAAGATTCAACAAGTACAGAAAATTAACTGAATCAGCGTTTCTTAACCTTCTTACCCTTGCGTAACCATTAAAATAAATTACATGTCTCATGGAACCCCTGTGCAAAACCAAAATTATATACCATATTTTTCTCATTTTATTTTTGTCGTAGTTCACGTGGTAAATATTATCATATATATTTTTGAATAACTGGTTTAAGGTGTTGTAGAGTAGTTTTCACATTGGAGGCTTGTATTTCGCTAAGTCGGTCTTAAAAGGGTCCGACGTACAAAACGTTAGGAACTTGAAATAACAGTTAATGACGCAGCTATCTATTTGGGATGGTTCATACTTCAATGTCCGACATCGACTGACTCGCTCAACTCCACTGAGCCCAACTGGCGACTACTGCTACTACTACTACTACTTATTATGTGTGGGAGAGTCTATTAATAATAGAATAGGTAATGATCTAGTATAACATAAGGAATAATTAATACTTCTTTGTCAATTTTTTCGGTAATGCTAAATAAAATTCATAGTGTTCGTTTATAATACTTCGTCAGGGAGAAAAAGTATCTTGAAGAACAGGTCCCGTTCGCTGAGTGGGCATTGACTAGTGAAGGTGGTTTCACACTGTCGCCGTACAGACAACACTAAATATATTCCCAATGATTGTTATATTTTTTTAATAATATAATAGATTAGATAGGATGATGTCTATATTACAATATTACAATAACCAAGAATATATTGTGTGTGTTTAGTAATAATATGTATCTGAAATTAAATAAAAAATCAAAAGTGCATTAGCTTATCTCACATGTTCTCGCGGGACTCTTCTGGATCTTTTGCGGAACCTTAACTTCCGGGAACTCCGGTTGAGAAAAGGTGATCTAAATAGTGTATTAACAGAAGACATAATATTTGACACAAAAACCTGAATGCGAATTGGAATTGCGAAAATTGTCTTTGTTGGATGTAATATGTTGATAGAAAATCTTCTC